CTATAATATGGGACAAACAAATGTTCATCTGTTAGAGTTAATATTGTTTCGTTAGAAGAGCTGAAACAGTGTCTCTCAGAACAGCATGTGTGCACCGGCTTTAACGAGACCACTACAGACAACAAGCAGGTTTCTCTTTTCCTCATTTTTTAAATACCAAAAATACCGACATGGGCAAAATGACATTGGTTATCGTCATAAATGTCGGTATCGGTTATTTTTCGGTTTATTGCCCAGGCCTAACGTGGCTTATCTTCATCTTCCGCCGCTTGGGTTGTGGAGGCAACAGTTTTAAGAGAGAAACCCAGACCTCCCGCTCCCCAGAGACATTTTTCCAGCTCGTCCTGAAGGACTCGGAGGCATTCCCAGACCTGAGAGGATACACAATCCCTACAGGAAGTCCTGGGTCTTCTTCCACCAGTGGGACATGGCCGGAACCCCTCTAAAGGGAGGCGTCCCAATCAAATGMACCACCACAGCTGACTCTTATYRATGCAGAGGAGCAGCAGATCTACTCTGAGCTCCTCACCTTATCTCTAAAGCTGAGCCCGACCGCCCTACGAAGACCCCAAAGATCAGTACCCAACTTTGGAACAGAGGACGGTATCTACGTGCTAAATCTAAACAAGCTGCTTTTTTATTCTGGATCATGATGAACAAAAGCATTTCTGCTTTTTCACCAGAAAGGCCACTTCTTTTCTCATCTACCACGTGTCCAGCCAAGCTAAACAGGCACTCGCTTTCAATGCTTGTGCATGGAGCAGCTGGCAATGGGAACCTCAGATAACTAGTTCTGTATCTGCATGGCTGAAAGGCTAGCCAGCTGTTGCTCTTTATTTATGTTCTCCTGTAGGATGTCATTGTGTACTGCGGATGTCATTGAGTAGATGGTTAAACTCTTTTCTTCCATTTCCAGAGTAATTTACCAAATATGTATCATATTATATCTGTAAAGTGACTCTGAAACGTGTAAACTGCTGTTGTATTTGATGATCTCTCTCCCCATCTCTTTGTGGATTAGTTTGCTTGAATCAAAGTAAATCATTGCTTGTTTGTGCATAGCATAGTTTGGATTAAACCACAAGATTTAATAAAACGTAAGAAAAGAGGACATTCTGCTTGTTTCCTTGTAGACATCCCTTTGACCTCAGCCGTGGGTTTAAGTCGCATTCATAAAGAGAACAAGCTGAGTTTACTGACAGATTGATGCTTAAAGATGGCACACGTTCAAGAAAAAGCCCAGTTAAATCAGCAAAACCAATGCATTTAGTCTCCGTCGTTTGTCCACATCTTCAGTTCAGTGACTGTATTCATGTCGTGGAGTCGGGTGATGCAGGAAAACTAGTCGTGTTTCACAGGCAGTCAGTTCTGCCGCGGTGTTATGAACGAGGCTTTGTGAGCCGGGTCGTCTGACCCCCTGAGAGAAGGCTCAGTCAGCTGACCTGCAGGCCACGGGTCGTGAGCTGYAGGCATGGGGAAAAACCATCCAAGATCCAAGCAGAACTCACTGYTTTTATAGTATAGGAAAGAAAAAAAAATGTATATAAGGATTATTTTAATAAAGAGGAGCGTTACGGATGAATTAGAGTAGATTAAGCGTCATAACAGAAAGAGGAAGTGTGTTTTATCTGAAGYCAGACTTCACGTTTTATCTCAGAGATTGCAGCACCAGTTTCATGTTTCCTGTTAGGGACCCAGTTACATTAGAAATCATGCCTCCCCGCCTGTGTTTCACTAGAAACGTTGATTTGCGGCCACATCGAGCGGTACCTCTTAGCTTCCAGCGTTGGTGCGACTGCTTGTGTAACTTCATTGTGTGAAGGTTTTGCTACGTGGGCGTCGCTGCAGATGCAATGAGAAATGGATTGCAGAGAATGGTCCGCTTCATCCGCTGGGTGTCAGCCCTGCTGGTTGTTACTACACGGACATTTTTCACAATCGACACCTTGTCAGGGTCAGGGTGAAGTCCAACCCCCTGAATTATAGTTATAAGTGGTCTTGGGGGTAGTCGCTCTCGTAGAATTTGATGGTTTTGTTGTTGTTGTTGTTTGTTTTTTGCATTCAGGCCACAAAAGTATTTAAAAAAATCTTAAATGTCAAACCAGTCGAGGAAGAACCTGAGCACACGTTCAATGATCACCGAAGTCTGCTTCAGCAAAGTCTTCACTTCAGGGACTGTGTCCTTCAAAGAACTTGGTCTACATGGGCCCAATCCTTTGTCGACAATGAAGGCTGGAAGGAAGTGGCTGTGAATTTGGACGGTCTACCCTCCAACTTTATTCTCAACATATATCCTGTGGCCTAGCAACTCGGATGATGCTAAACAGAAGCAAAAAAATAGCTAGAAAGTAGCAAAATACTAATTTATTAGTATTATAAATAAAAAAAACTTAGCTTTGAGGCAATATTTGAAGAACTAAGAGACACACCATACAAGCTAGTTTACAATGATTTCTGACAAGAATAATATTAAAAAACACATTGATGGAAATGACAAAAGCCTAACAACACAACTGCTTTTTTTATTTAAAACTGTACTCCTGTCTCTCATTTTGTCCGCCATTATATAAGCCAAAAAAAAAAAAAAATCTCCTGATCAGCCAGCAGTGCATCTTGGGATAGGGTGGGTTGAGGATACCTGTCCCTCAAATTTGAGCAAAAGGAGGACACATTTGCAGGCTGCATTTGGAGGAGTTTTTTAATTTAGACAGGCTTCAGTGCATCACTTGACATAGTTGGACGACAAATTCAGCCTTCGCAGGATGCAGACCCTGAATTTGTACACAGCCTTTTCCTGCCTGAGAGGAATCTGACTGTGTTGCCATCCCTCCACCTCAAACAGAAACTGTAGCATCACATTAAAATTTTATTTTGTTTTGACTCAAACACACTAAACTTGACCAAACTAAACACTAAACTACACACTAACTATAAAATCCAAACATGCTAAACGTTACAAATGTCATTACTCATTCCTGCTCCCAAACTTCCTTCAACTTCTTCCTCATCTTCTTCCTGTAGATTTTTTGGCGCTGCACAGATAACATCAGGCCTCAGTTAGAAAGAGGTGTGGGTGTATGTCTGTTAAGCAGGGGGTGAGGACAACAACACATGGGGGCAATAGTAGGGTTTTATCAGTCTTCGCAGCTGCCTCCTTCCTTGCACATTAGAAAAGTTGATGTCTCGCAACAGCATGTCCCTAGCAGAACGTCACACTCCTTATATGGAAGTGAAAACACTTCATTTACTTATCATTGGCTGATATGAACAGCCGTACAAATGTAGAACTTAAAGTAGTTTGTTGGTCTGGAGTATTCAGCACCATGTTTAAATTAAACCAATCAAAACAAACATTTAATATCCACTGTCGGCCCGGTGGTGGTGGGGGGATAAGGATTTGTCTCCTTAAAAAGTCATTAAGTCGACCATGAACTCCTCTGTAGACCAAAGGATCCTGGAGTCAAATTAGGCCCAACGGCTGAAGATTGGACCAACCTGGGTCATGAAACGGGACAAAAAATGAGAGAATTAACGCRTTGCATCAGTCCAGTCAGGCTCCAGACCTAATCCAGATAAAAATGCAGAGGTGGGATCTGAACAGTCTAATGAAAACGTTGTAAGCTATTATTCTCTTACCTGTTCTAGATAACATTTTGAACAGCCTCGTTTTGGAAAACAGACTTTAAATCTTACATCTAGACAAGCTGAAGTCTAGTCCAAGCAGACCAAAGTAAATGTTCCCGTCTTAAAATAACTTCAGTCTCTAAAAGTTCATGGTGCTTCATGCAGAGGCTGTTGTTGATATGGAGGACAAAACTCCTCTTCTAAATTGTTCAAAAAGTAAAGTCAAACAGAAGCTGAATACTGAAAGTCATCGCTGCTAAAGGGACGTTGTTCAAAGATAAAACTTGAAGATGTTTTAATGATAGGAAGTAAAATAAATTTATAGATGAATCACATGGTGGACATGGAAGACTAAATTAATTGTCAAAATTGTGTTGATTATTTTGTTAATGTTTTATTAAAGTCAACAGGGTTGCACATAAGCGGTGCGCAGGTGCACATGTGCGATCAAAAAAAGAAAAAGCGCACCAGATGGAATGTCATAAAGCTCACTTCCGTACCTAAGCTTGTATCTGAGATTATCTGTCAAAACAACAGCTAGCAGTGCTCTAGAGCAGTGGTTCCCAAACTTTTTATCTTCTGACCCACAAAATATTCATGGCAAAAACTTGTGACCCCAAATATTACTGGTCTGAGTACACAAACTTTGTTAATAACCCTAAAAACA